GGAGTGCATGCAGAGGGGGATGAGAACAACGAATGAGAAGGATTCCGGGCGAGGTTGGACACGATCCGAAGAGCGGAAGAGTAGGGGTAATTCGTATGTGTGAAGTGGAAATACATGTACCTCGAGTGTTTTTCTTCAATTCGCCGTGACATTGGACAGTGGGGTGTGTGTGGTGCTTGGAGGTGGGGACGGACAGGGCAAGGACGAAGAAGAGGAAGAGGAAGAGGAAGAGAAAGAGGAAGAGGAAGAGGAAGAGGAGAGGGGTGGGTGTGGGTGGGTGTGGAGAAAAAGTGGGGGACGAGAAGAGTGCGAGGAAGAGAAAGGAGTGAGAGAGAGTGGGGGGAGATAGGCCAATTATCTTTTCCCTAACCAATCATTGGTCGGTTCCTGGAAGGTGCGCATTGCGGGGGAAGAAGATGGGCACGCGCAGGACGTATCTGACTGACACTGTGGCATTTGTCTGAGCCATCGGTTCATCTCCCTCCTTCACTCTCCATCCGCACAGCTCTCATCCTCCCCCTCGCTCGCTGCACTCACCTTCACTCGCTCACTCGCCCACGCACCCCCGCCTACACATCCTTGCAATCCCGTGGAGAACGCGGTTGCACCATGGGAAACGCCATCACCAAAAACTACGAAGGTCTGTTGTTCGTCCCACAATTACAACCTCTCCCCAGGACCCAGCCCTGCTTCCAACTGAATCAGAAACTGACCAGCAAACCTACTTTGCATCATTTAGTGGGTGGCCAGATTGCCAGTGCAGGACTATGGAAGATTCATCGAGGCACCAAGCGCACCACTGGCCAAGAGGTCGCTGTTTTCGTATCATTCCACCGTGTCAGATCGCCTCGGACGCTTGCTCATGCAATGTATTGGATGAGCCAAGCGATCGCGGGCTGTTGATGCTTTTCTTTTATGTTGCGTTATTCCTTGCTGCTGCTCTTGTTGTCTGCGATTTCCTTCTGGACATCTCTCAATCCTCATTATCCAGGGCGTACATGCCCGTCTATATGATCCTTGACTTCGAAACCATGTCCCGCCTGTCTTTTTTTGTTTTTGTCTTCATATTATTATATAATTACTATAGATCTTCGAAAAAAACATTGTCGACAGCATCTCCTCCCTCCGCAGACAAGTACCTTCGAAACGTGATCAGGAACGCGTCTATGAATTTCTAAAGAAAGAGGTACACGCAGGACCAAATGCTTACTTCCATTCGACAATCCCAGGAGCGCAGGAACCATGGACATATCAGCGGAATAACACCCAACTTGAAGTGAGCCATTCGCTACTTGGAAGGACCACAGGAAATCGTCGCAACATCATTGGAGGGATGGCCATGCGAGAATGAAGTTCTGGATGTAGTTACTATCAGGATACAATTGAAAGAATTTGAATTACACCACAGAGACCCATGTCCAAAGACTCCTCATTTGGATACTGGGATATCCTCAACAGAAACTTACGTCTCTACCTTTGATGTCTCATAGGCTAGTCAACTTGCCCGACTGCGGCATCCCTGTATGCTGGAGGTCGTCGAACCGGTGGATGAATCAAGGACAGCTATCGCATTTGCCACAGAGCCCATTTTTGCGTCACTTTCAAATCTACTTGGAAACTATGAGAACCTGGCATCGGTCTCGGAAGATATCCGCAAATTCGAACTGGATGAGCTGGAGGTAGCAGCCGCACGCTTAACTAGAAACTGTTAAGAATGGAGTCACCCGCCATGGACTAGGAGGTTATTCTTACAACTGGAATCCTCTCGTCTATCTGTAGATTCAAAAAGGTCTACTGCAGCTCGGAAAAGGACTGCAGTTCTGTCACAATGATGCCAGGATCGTTCATGGAAATCTCGTGCCGGACGCCATTTTTGTTAATGCGAAGGGAGACTGGAAGATGGCAGGGTAAGGCACTGCGCACCGATTTTTGCATACTTACTGCTAGCGGACTAAATTATTCTTGATGCTAACCGACGTTTGCTCGTAATCAACATTTCATAGCTTCGGTTTCAGCACGTTTCTTTCGCGGGATCCAAATGTCCCAACACCTGTCGAATACTGGGACTATGATCATGAACTACATCCTTACTGCCAACGAGATCTCAATTACCAGGCTCCGGAATATGTGCTAGACCAGAGACTGGACCCTTCCAACGACATGTTCGGTATCGGCTGTTTAGCATATTCTGTTCTCAACAAAGGAACACCTCTTTTCCAAACGCGAGGCAACTTGAATTCTTATCGCCAGCAAATCGAGAGGATCGGTCAGCAACAATATGAGAAGCTTCCCGCCCATTTGGCCGGTACGTATCTGCCGAGAAAGGACAATCCGGATCGCTTTTTACCTCAACGCTGACGTCTATTGCTTATTCTGTTAGATGCCATGACGCGCCTTATTACCAGGGAACCCAGCATGAGAATGAATGCCGTGGAGTTTCAGTCAAGCAAGTTTTTCGACAACATCCTCGTGTCGACCATGAAATACATGGAGAATTTTGCGGAGAAGACAAGGGATGACAAGGGCCAGTTCATGAAGGGTTTGCTCCGAGTTTTGCCCCAGTTCCCGGAGCGTGTCCTTTATAGGAAGGTATGTCAATCACTGCTTAATTTGTCATCTGCATCGATTTTCATTGTTCTCACAGTAGTTGCGTTTGGTCATTTAGATTTTGCCATGTCTTCTGGATGAGCTTAAAGATCATGCTCTGCTGCCATATACACTACCGAACGTATTCTATATCATTCAAAAAATGACACCCAAGGAGTTCGAAGAAAAGGTCCTACCTTCACTGAAACCTATCTTCCTGGTCCGGGAGCCAATGCAGAACCTTTTGACGCTTCTGGAAAAAATCGAGCTACTGCATGAAAAGGCCAGTGGAGCTGTCTTCAAGGAGGATATCATGCCTCTTGTTTACTGCGCGCTGGAGCCCAAGAATCCTCCATCTGTTCAAGAAAAGGCCCTTAAGACCGTTCCCGGCATCATGGAGGCACTGGATTACACGACCGTTAAGGCATCCCTTTTCCCGCGAATCTCAGTAAGTGTTCCTATTGCATCGATTCACTCTGCTTTCCACGAGCAATGAGACCAAGCCTAACCGACCTCTTCCTTCGTGTAGACTCTGTTCTCTCAAACGACCACCTTGTCTGTCAAAGTGAACACGCTGCTGTGCTTCCTTACCATTATGAAGATCCTGGATAAGGTAGGCATTCTCAAGTACGCAGTCTATCATTGCTGGAAGAAGTTGCTAAACCCTTTCTTTCTTCTCCTGTAGTTCACGATCACTGAGAAGCTGATTCCTCTATTGCGCAACATTAAAACACGTGAAGTAAACGTTACGGTAAGATATTTATGGGAGCCGATAGACTCCATGCTTTGTTGGCGTCAAGGACATTTCAGTTTCTCACCCATGCGACCGCGGATTAGATGGCCACTCTTCAAGTATACCAGGAGATGGGCAAATACGTGGACAAGGAGATTATCGGAAACAGCATTCTTCCGCACCTCTGGCACTTGGCGCTCGGCCCAAATCTCAGGGCAGATCAGGTGCGTAATGTCACCTACGACTTTCTATGCGCATAGTTGCATATGTCCGAAGGCTATGCTTACGCGAGACAACCGTTTTCTCCTTCTACGCATCTAGTTTGAGAAATTTATGGCAACAATCCAAGAGCTCTCGACCAAGGTTCATCAACAGCATCTGCGCCATCTTCAGGATTTGAAGAAACTGGAAGACCAGACAAAAAGCTTTTCCGCTAGTTCTGACCCAGCGACTGTGGCAAACGGTGCAGGCTCAACTATGAATGATTTTGAAAAGCTGGTTCAAGGCGGATCGGGACCAACTATCGGCAATATGTCACCCAGTTCAAACCGCCAGTCTGCTTCAGAGAACCCATTCAAGATTGCATCGGACAATCCTTTCTCTCCTTCTAGCTCCAAGGATTCGTCGCTGGACATGTTTGGAGATATGGTAGAGATCTATTTCACACCAGTGTGTTATTGGCGAGCCTAAGATTGAAGCACTCACTAATATACATTCGATTGTCTCGTTCTATAGGCTTCCTCACTCCCCTCAGCAACCTCTAGACCAATGTCGTTTACGGCAGGTACGCCTGTCATGAAGCCTGCGACGTCCAGCATGTTTGGTGCCACGTCTGGGGATTCTCCTGTCATGGGTAACTTTGGCTCTCGACCCATGACCCCAACCAACAACGCAACTTTCCAGCAGCAGAACCACAGCGGTTTTGGATCGACAACCAGCAGCATTGTTTCGACCCCTACTGGGGCTACGTCCTCGTTCTCTATACCCCCGCTCAGCAAGCCGCTCTCGAACTCCTCGTCTGCACGGCTACCATTCTCGCAGCCTCAGCAGAAGCCAGCTGGTGCTCCGCCATTATCACATACTCTGGGTAACCTTTCTTCGGCATCCTCGGCTTTTGGAGGTTTCCAATCGGCAGCACCCATGGCACCGACCATTCAACCTATGACAGGGGGCGCCACAGGTGGATTTCAAAACCAAAACGGAGGCAGCAGCATGAGTTTTGGTATGGGTATGACATCTACACCCGTCTTTACACCCGTACGGCCGCCATCAGGCATGGGCATGATGCCTCTTTCACCCATGATGCCTTTACAGCCTACAAACACTGGTGGTGCCAGCAAGCTTGGACAGAACACTTCGCAGCACAAGGGCAAGAATACGGACCTGGGTATGTTCGACCCATTTTCATAAAAAATGACGTATCTTTGCATTCCTTGGAGACATTGAAATAAACGCCATTCGCATTGCTGCCGGTTGTTGCTGAGAAAAAAGCACGCATGGTTTGTGACCAAGAATGAACGAAGACTACCCCTTCCCTCGCGTTGTGTTCGTTGAGGTTGTTTATCATCGCAGTTGGCCTATCCAGACAAGCAGAGGTAACCCCTATTTCACGGAGCTCTCGCAACGTTTTGTAGTCTCGCGAGAGTGGACAGGTGACAACCCAATCTTCGATTAGGACAGCAATGGATAGATATCCTTTCTCTGTTGGGCATGTTTGTTGTATTTATTGCTCTGTGCGACAAGCATGGTCATCATCCCCCTTTTTTGTCGACATACATCCGTATCGATATAACGCTGCTCTGACAGGGACTACTAGACTACATGCAGCGTGCATTTTCTACGCTCCAACCATTTCGATGCACTCGAGGTCCGCCAGGTCACAATGGCAGACCAGGGGCTGCATGTGCACTGGACGAATACAGTTGTTTGTTGGTGTTTATTTTGGTTTGTTTCGATGCCCTGGATGGTCAAAGAGAAAGGGGTCGGAACTGCCATGGGTAAAGACGTCCAGTAACAGCACAAGGCCAATAGCGAGGGATGGGGCAGGTCTAGACGAGAAACAACAGGGACATGTTCATCTTTGACGTCCTCTTCCTCTTTCGTCTTTTTCCCTTTCCTTTCTTTTTTTTCTCCTGGTTCCAGTCGCGTTCGTGTGTCTCTGCTGCTTCCCCTGCACGGCCTGCCCTCCCTCGCCCGACCTTCGTTCCCTCTTCCCACCATCTACTCACTTTGCACCTCCTTTGTTGCTTGCTGCCCCGCATCCTCTTCCAGGACGTGTCGAACATCAGTGACCTGACTGGATCGAATCAAGGACGTTGGACACTTTAGTCCCTCCCCCCTCTTTTTTGATGACCCTGACTCCTTCCACGCTACCCCCTAATCCCCTTTACGCGCTGTAATATCCACATCCCACTATCGCAATCAGTAATGGCAACAGCTGGGTCTTTGTCAGGAACACATCTTGCCACTTCGACTGTGTTGAGCACGTTGGTAACAGTCGCGACCTCGTTATCATTATCGGCCACACCCACAGCTTCTATCAATGGCACCTTGGGAGAGTCCACGCCTCCGAGCTCGCCGGGGGCCCCACATGGAGGAACTGAGACTACGAGCGATACCGCGAAGTACATTGGTCTATCTCTGGCGGTCGGAAGTGGTCAGTTCTCCTCGCGGACGTAATGATCTTTTCAAGAAAAGGATCGCGTTTTTGGCACGAAAGGCTGACATTCTTTTTGGCTGGTTTTTAACACCCATTATGTTAGGTGTATTGATTGGGACCAGTTTTGTCTTCAAAAAGAAGGGTTTGATCAATTGCACCAAGAACGGAATGCTCGCTGGAGAGGGACACGCATATCTAAAGTCCGTTATGTGGTGGACAGGAATGCTCATGAGTAAGCAACTGGCAGTTAGACAGTGCAGTTTTGATGATGCGGAAGTGCTCACGGATATCCAGTCAAAAACGCACCCTCCATCCTGATCACCTATCCATTCTCCTCGATTGTAGTGGTTGCGGGAGAAGTGTGCAACTTTGTCGCGTACGCGTTTGTGCAGCCAATTCTGGTGACGCCCCTGGGAGCTCTAAGCGTTGTAATCTGGTAACGAATAAGCATGCGATCAATTCTTGGAAACACGCAACTTCTATTCCAGTCCTTAACCGAATTCATACGTATTTCCTCGCCGCAACACAATAGCGCGGTTTTGTCCTCCATCTTTCTGCGCGAACGACTCAACCTCCAAGGAAAAGTAGGGTGCGCGCAGTGCATCATAGGGGCCACCATCATAGTTCTACATGCCCCTGAGCAGGCTGCTGTCAAGACGATCCAGGAGTTCCAACACTACATGGTTCAACCGGGCTTCCTTGTCTGGATGATATTCATCATTATTTTTTCGTTGGCGTTGATTTTCAAGGCGGGTCCCAAGTGGGGGAGAGAGCACATGATGATCTACATCGGCGTCTGCTCCTTGATCGGATCCCTCTCCGTAGTAGCGACACAGGCACTGGGCGCGGCCATTGTACACAACATCTCCACGGGCGAGCCGCAATTTAACAATTGGTTCATCTACTTTGTGATCGTATTCATGGTCATCACGCTGTTGACAGAGATCAACTATCTCAACAAGGCGCTGAATCTCTTTAATACTGGTAAGGGTCCCATACGCCCGTGTTACTACATGCCATGTCCAGCTATTATTTTATTGCGGTAAACCGACCCATGAAACTTACGCGCAACTCCACATTCTCTCCTGTGATCGCATAGCCATGGTTACACCCACATACTACGTGACGTTTACCTCGACTACAATTATCACGTCGGCAATCCTCTACCAAGGGTTTGCTGCCTCTGTCACCGATATCCTCACTGTCTGCTTCGGGTTCTTAGTCATCTGTGGCGGCGTTCTCTTGCTCCAGACATCCAAGCCTGTGGTCCCTCTGCACATGCCTGGATCCTCGACATCAGATATCATCGGAACCATCACTTATGAAGAACTAGAGCCAACTGCAGCAGACATGCGCGCCTCGCCTTTCAGCAGTATCCGTAGGATCAGTAGAGATTTCCGGCAACCCAGCGTTATTAGCACTACAAACAGTGTCTTCCAAAGCTCGCCTTTGAACCCAAGGGCAGAAAGTCTGATGCAGAGAAAGAGGAGAGCTTCGAATGCTGCGCAGAGGTCGAGGCCTCAGAGCATGATTGGACATCATCACCTGGCTGTGCCTGGCACAACTAAAAATGGCACGATTGCAGGCGGAACGACGGCATTCTATCCATCCACTGCAGGACAGTACTCGGCCATGGTGATGGGGCCTAATGGAGCGCAGATCAAGGTACAGCTTTGCGAGATCGTGATCTCGGACGACAAGAACGAAACAAGCCGATACCAGGTCTACCGACCGGTTCCTCCTGGCGACCCTGCGCTGCCGCATACGAACGATGTTTCGGAAAAAGGAGACCACAGGACCGCAGCAACCTCTACGGGCTTCAAACATCCGTTCCTAGCTCCTCGAGGAAGTATGTTGACGGAATCGCGGTCGTCCTCGATAAGGTTCAGCAATATACCGCACCCGCCGCCTCTTGAAGAGAATGGAAAGGACGGACTGTCGCAAGGCACACCCGCCCAGAGATACCCTAGTCCGATATCCGGATCCATGTTCTTGCCACCAAAGGTCGCAGTCAGTCCACCAACCCCCTTGCCCCCTTCTGGCTCTTCTTCAATTCCTGCTGCACCTGTTCCAGCTATTTCGCTCAGGACGCCATCAGGACCGCTAGTTGCAGGTGGATCCTTTTTTGCCCGACCTAGATTCCGATCGCCGTCTACTTCAACTGCGGCTTCAGGAGATATCATGGAAATCAACGACCCTGGACATGTCGGAAGAACAGTAGTAGCCATTGAACCCGTCCAACAGCAGCCATTGTACTCTCTATATGTCCCACCGCTGCCGCAACATCATGCCCCCAAATCTATACCCCTATCATCTTATAATCATGCCCCAACTTCGTTGCCAATACCCGGCTCTACTTTTGTAACTGCCACAAACTCTAACGCCTCCCCCACGGCCAACGTCACAGGAAGCAACCTGTCTCACCAAAAAGAAATCTCGCAGCTCACGAACAGCGATGAAGATGATAGTCCTGAAGCCTCGAGGCAAGATATTGTGGATAACGACGCACAGGATAATGACGGTATTCGTCCGGCTCCTCCACCTCCACCTTCTGTGAAACCAAAGCGTGGTGGATTGTTTGGACTAGGCAAGCTGTTCGGCCCCAAGGATACGGAGTCGAGACGGGAACGACAGCAGGGCCATCCATCGTCGAGGAACCTACGCACGCTTACTTCTGAATCATCGTCATCGACTACTCCCCTGCAGCCGGCTTCGACGCCAGAATCACAGCCTCTGTCGACATTGACATCGGAAGCCGTTGTGTTCAACAGGACGAAACATCCGACAAGGATCTCGGAGGGTGAAGAGGAGGAGGATACGGAGGAGACCAGGGCTTCGTAGCTGTGATGAAAAGGCCATGTGAATAAAACTGAATGTCCAACTGTATTTCACGCGTGTTCGCGTTTGTGCTGTGCTGTGCTGTGCTGCGCTGCGCTGTGCGACTGTCACGATTCCCGGTCGCTTTGTACCGATTAAATGTCCCTTTTCTTTTTTTCTTCCTTAATCACTGCCACGTACCTTTCATTTTTCTACTTTCCTCAGGATCAACTCTCGCAAAGGAGGACATCGCCTCAAGCTATATTTCCTAATACTGACTTCACCTACAGTGCTGCACTGGTCAAGGAATTGTGCGTCACCACCATCGCGCCACCAAACTGGGCTTGCACGGTTCTGCGCGATATCCTTAGCTTTATCGAATCCAGTCTTTCAAACAAGTGTTTTCAAAAACATGAGCTCGGACAAATATGTGAAGAAGAACCAATCATGCAGAAGAGAGAGCAAGGCAGCTACTGCCATAGCCCCCGCTATCGGGGCCAGCGACCAGACCAGGCCTACCACCTCAAATCCTGTCGCAACCCCCGTTAACCGCACGAGCGAACAATCCGAGTCGACTTTGAATTTGGTTCCGGTCCAGAGCGAGGTGATAAAGGACCCGCAAGACGAGAGCCATTCCAGGACAAGTGCAGGTTGGAGCGACAACCCATATATCGAGGTTATCGAGAGAAGACTGCATAGACTGGCGAAACGCCTCGTAAGCGACTCATGTCTACTTTCTTTACGCTAAACTGCCTTTTCAGGCACTTTTTTCAGTGCTGAGACTAAATCACACTGCTATGATAGATACTGATAAACGGCTCTTGTCAAAAACGTTGTGACTCGATCACATAGAAAAGGATCGAAGGAAATGAACAGCGTATTGCACAGGACCCGTCTCTCAAGAAGGAGATGCAATCGGACCAGCTTGTGGCTATCGAGAAAAAGCCCTTTATAGCCGATACTTTGAAGGAGCTTGAAGCCTTGCACAGCCTCATGTCGCAGAAGTACGCAACTGTAAGTGGTGTACAAGTACTATATAATTTCAAAAGCCTTAACGTACGAACCCCCACTTGGAGCTGACAGGTCGCTTTAACTTTTAATATCGGATCTGAAGGCCAAGACGGAGGAGTCGGATGATTTTGGATGCAAGCACAAGACTGGGGGCGACGACCTCTCCCAGCGCCATGTCGAATCATTCACGGCGGCCTTCATTCAGCTAACGCGCTTCTTTTACACTCTTCGTGAGCACGAACTGGCCAAGGAGCATCTCAGTGAGCCGCTGTCGAGCAGGTTACTAACGTTGAGCGACATTCGCGATCAATTGTTCGCGGCTGCCCAGTCTGCAGAACAGGACAAGGCGGGCCGACAGGACCTCTACACATTCGTCATGAAGCTCACCAACAATAGCGAAGATGTCGTATGCGAGGGTAGCTCAGTGGCATGTACGTTATCGCGTGTTTTTATTCAAACGGCCGAAGTGATGGACGCACGACTGATCGCATAAGGTCATTCGGGTCCTTCTATTGATCCTTTTAGACAAGGCCGTCCACACAATCATCGACGAATTCGTTCACGCGCCATCAGACTTCAGACTGGATTCTCATAAGCATGGTCCGTCGTCCGCGGAGGAGGACGCAAGTTTGCACTCGACAATGTCCTTCGACATTAGCACCATCGACAAGTCAACGATCCGCACAGGCCAGAACATTGACGGCTCTGAGAGTACTCCAGGGTTCTCGACCTCACCCCTAGTCGCCTCGCCATCGCCGACCGTTGTAGGCCCTGTGGAGCGCGCAGTTTCTGCGCATCCTCCGCCAACATACGCTCCTCCATCAGAGCTGACTATTGCTGCTTCAGCAGCCTCCCTTCCAGCACCAGCAGCCTCCCTTCCAGCACCAGCAGCCTCCCTTCCAGCACCAGCAGCCCTCCTTCTAGCACCAGTAGTCTCTCCTCAAACACTCGGAGCCCTTTCTGCTATCCCCGCTATATTCCCTGGACCGGCCCCTGCAGTTCCAGATCCACCTGTTCAGGGCGTCATGAAGCCTTCTCCAAGCGAAGCCGCAGTGCCAACTGAGCGCTTGTCAGGACCCATGATAGGCACACCGAGATGCTGGGAGTCCCCTCCGCGACAGGCCGCTGCGTCAATGCCTCGTGCAGATTCCGCAGATTTATGCAGAGGCAAGTGAAAGTATTTTATTTGACAAGCATGGATGACAACTTGCATGGTATTTCGATTCAAGACACTCACACCTGTTCTCTTACTCGTTGCTTTACGTCGAATAGAACCCGAAAGAGAGGTTAAGCCGTATTATGTGATGGATCGTCCGCCTCAAGCAAATCAAGGACGGGCTCAAGGCCATCGTTCTACCATGACACCAGAGCCCAGAAGACCTCCAGCGAGAAGCTCCATGGATCAAGGACCATCTCAAGAGGCGCAACATATGCTCCTCCAGCTGGGGTTTCGTGTGCATCCCATGCCCCCGCCACCGCAGTTCCACTACTACTATCCCGGTCACCTGACAGCGTTCGGCGGAATGGTCTTCCCGAGCGAGTGCACGCTTCCTCCAGTCCGGGAGCATGACGAGCACAGCGAATACAGTCCATTTGCCTCCGCACCAAGAGGATCTGGAGGTCCGAGAGAACGAGGCAAGCCCAAGCGAGGCTGAGTTGAATATGCAATGGCGTAAACTGGAGCGGGTAGCTCAAACATGCATGGACACTATTGAAGGAAAGAGAGGTTTCCACAGCCCTATTTGGTAGCGAGCAGGGCATGCGCCTATTGAAAAAAGCACAAGATAGGAATGAAGTGCTCTCACAAATTGAAATTAGTCCGTTTCGTTTTTCCAGCATCCAAAGATGATCGTTGGCGGGGTTGGCAGGAAGAACTTTACCGGGAAACTACTGGCGCCCAGAGGGGGGGAGGCCAAAAAAAAAAAGAAAAAAAAATCGACCCAGGGTTTGATTGATTGCCATCCTCATATTCACATTCACACTCACACCCACGCCCTATCCGTCTCAGTCTGCATCACTTTGTGGGTCTCCCTGGATTGCATCCACCCCTTCCTAAGCGGTGTTCATCTCGACTCTCTCTATCAGCAACCATGGCAACCACATCGCTGACGGCTATTCCATCCACCCAGCCCAGCTGTGGTCCCATCTCTGTACTGCAGCCCATTCCCCATTGTCCATCCACCAACGCAACCAGCGATCCCCTGGGTTGCTTCATTCAACCAACAGGTCTCTTCTGCGCACCGCTCTCGACCACCCGTGGCTTCCGCTACAGCCTCGAACCCTTCTCTCGACAGAGCAACAGTACCGGAAATACCACCGCCGGCACTACTAATAGCACCAGCAGTACAGGAGCGACACTTCCTCATTTCATCCTCTCGCTATCCACTGCCACCAATGACAATACCACAAACCCATCCCCGCCTCTTCTTGGCGTCGATGGACAGCCTGTCAATTACGAAGGACCCGCTCGACTTGGTCAGACCTGCATTGGTATACCCTTGCCAGCGACTACGGACCCGTTGTTCCAGACTCTAGTCTCGATCGCCAACCAGCGATTGAACGACACAACCGGCTTCCTCCCTGGTGTGGGCGCCGGACAGGATGTGTTCAAGCTCCGAGGCGACTGTGAGCAAGGATCCTATTGTGACCCGACCGTTTCTAGCGCCGGCGCGGGCACATGCAGGGAACAACTACCGAATTTCCACAACTGCACATCCTACATGCAATGTATTTCTCAGCGTTGCGACGAGCCACCTGTGGATATCAAGATCGTCCACCGGAGGAAGAGGAGCACTAGACAGTCTCTATTGGATATTGTCCGACAATTTCAGTCACAAGAACATACAATCGAGCGACGCGCCGATGCGGGGTTCACTGTTTGCCTGCCTTCCAGAATCGAGCGAGGCGGCGGTACTGGCTCAGGCGTAGACCCTGACGAAGGACAGGGAGCTGGAGGATCACAGAATGGTGGGAAAACATCCCCAAAGTTTCCCGCCTGGATGGGTGCGATTATCGCCATGATTGTTATCCTTGGAGCCGCATTTATCTTTGGTCTGGCACGGCGGAGGAAAAAACTTAGGGACGAGGAGGAAAAAAAGAGGAAGAAGGGTGCGCGGGTTATGATGGGACGCGACCGGGAACGACACATGGTTCTGTCGTCGAGTATCCAGGACGAGAAGGACGAGAAGGACGAGTACCTATACCAGATGGGGCCTGAGTACCATCAGCCAGGTCAGGACATGCACCGACTTGGTTTTCTTGGTGCGCTGTTCAGCAAGCGGCGCAAGAGCAGCAACGATGGCAGACGTACCGCTGCAGAGAGCTCCAAGTCTGTGGATGCAATGTCGACGAGAGATGGCTCCATTATTTCGATGGCCGATCTCGAAACTCAGTCCCATCAGGGTGATGGTCACTCCTTCGAAGCCGCATCCTTTCATACCAACCAGGCTGTGTTTGCAGGTGCTCCTGGGAAAATGACCTCGCCCTTTGATCCCCCAGGTTCACCATCGACTGAGCTAGATCCCAATGATATCTCTGCCGCTGCAGCAAGCAACTCGCTTAGCCCAGCCTCAAGGCTGTCTGTCGTTATACCCAGAATTACCACAGCGACTTCAGAGCCGCAGATTCAATCGCCTTCGACATCAGAATCGCCTACTTCGGCACCACCTTCAGGACAGAGTAGGTTCGAAGAAGGAGAATCTCCTTTGCCGTCGTCATCTACACAGAACCTACAGCATCCATCTGGCGGCGCGCTGGCGTCATCCCGACCCATATCTGCAACTGGGTCGTCGCCATCCTTGTTCGACTCTTCCTATTCGCCCACATATCCACATTCCCATTCCCATTCAGACACATCATCTACGCCCTCGAGAAGCAGCTCCGGGAAAGACTTTTTGTCGACACCATCACAACCGAGTGCTTCGCAGCATGGTTCGAATTCCATTATCTCACCTGTCTCGCCCGTTTCTCCTATCTCGCCAAGGAGGCCACCGTTGTCGAGTGGCCAGTCCTCAAGGCTTTCACATCGACAGAGCATTCAGCCTACTATGCGGAAGTCGTAGTGTTGTTAAATATGTCAAAGAAGAAGAATGATAATAATAATAAATAATAAAATAAAAAATAAACTGTCAGCTTGGCGCCATCGTGATGAATACGATACTTTGAAACTCGTGGAGATCCGTTTGAGGCATGGGTCGTACGCCCTTGATGTTTGCTGTACAGTACATGAACAAAGTTCGGATCCATGGTCTCCTGGATGGTCGTTGCAACCTTGGCACGATTCCAGCTGGTGAAGGAATCGAGGAGGGTCCCCGCAGGTAGCTGGGTTCCATCAATGGGAGTGGGCGACTCTCTTGTCTATATCCAGAATCCGAAGGACAACACAAGCAGTGAAATTGACTCGACTGCAGGAGAATCGGGGTCTGGACAAGCTGGAGGGTATGGATATGAGACTGTTGGAGCTGTGCCACAATATCAATTGAGAATTGACAAGGAACAAGGGACGCGTTTTTGGGTAACTTCTACTGCGAGTCAGTAAATGCAGAAATTGCGGGGTGTGTTGTCGAGACGAACATGGGGGGAGTTCCTTTGGATGGACACATTCAATGGTGACCGTCGATACGACCTGCTCGCATCCGTGAGGCAGCAGTACTTAATGGTACTTAGTGCTTGCGAATTGGCGCCATATATTGGGCATGAGATGAGGCACCAAGGCTTTATTCACCTCTTTTTTTTTTTTTTTTTTTTTTTTTCTTTTTTCTACCCAATACCCAACTCCATATCCATGGTCATTAAAGCTATACACATGCACACTTGCATAGAGGGCCCAGTTATTTTGACTCCGGTACATGGGGTATTTGGTTGGTGGAGCTTTAGTTAGCCTTTTGTTCATTTTGTATATGCGCATCCAGGGGTTTGGGGATGTCTTTGCTTGGACAGTAAGGGAATCCGAGGTTGCATCCTGTCTCTGCCGAGAAATAAACATCCTTCTTTAGGAATGATCTCTAGTGTAGACACATGCTTAAAGCGATTCTTTTTGTTGTTGTTGTTGTTGTAGAAGGATCGACAGCCTATTCAGAAGCGCTGACTAAATCGTGTGGTTGGATTACGATGCTGTGGTGCTTATTATGATCACTCCTGTTCTATCCATGAATGTGGCAGAGAGCAGGGAGCATGCTGCTAATGTTGGACTTTATGCTTAACACAGATGTAGTCCTCTAACATGGACTAGATAGGGTTCCATCCTGGATACAAGGTTTACGCCTTGGGCTATGGACCGTGCGACCCACCACCATGGGAAATGAGGGGAGGTGGTCCAAAAAAGCATGCAGTGAGGAAACATTAGGGTTCATTTAATATTTTGAGTCGAGGGACAAATACATGTTGCATAGGATGGGGGTTTCCGGGTGGAGGGTGGGTCGTGTCAGAGGCTTCTTCTCTGTCATTTTCAGTTTTCTGGTCCGGACAAGGCTTCAATGCTCCGTAAAGTTCCCTCAAAAAAAAAAAAATAAAAAATAAAAAATAAAAAATTCAAGTGGACTTGTACATAGGGTTGTTTCCAGGTCAGTGAGTGCTGCAGAAATACGGATTGATGGCGTGGCATGTATGACAACGCATGGTGATCCTCGCATCATGGTCCCCGCGTGGGGCCTGAGGAGGAGGGAGGGGGGATCCAGAGCAGGGCCAAGTGGAGGCGGTGTGGAGCGGGTTAGAGTTGGGCACGTCGAGTCATTTCCGGGCCTGGCCAATCAAATGGGGCAGGCAGGCAGGGGCTGAACCAGGCCTCTGCCCGCTCAAAGCACAGTGTTGTTTTTTACATCCCACCCTGCGTACCCCACGCACGCACGCAAAAGTGTCGCTTCCGACTGCTTCTCGTCTCCGCCCTTTTCGTCCTCTCCCGTGTCCGCCTCGACTGATGAGCTTCCCCTGGACTCGATCCATTTCCTGATCCCCAATCTCTACATCCATCCCGGCTATTTTAGTTTTGGTTTCTCTATTCTATTCTATTTAGGTCCCAACCCCACTTTGGAAACACCTCCCCCTCCGCCGTATAAATACAATGGCTTCCCTGCAGTGCTCCTCCGCCTCCAAAGTCCTCCTCCGCCAATTGGCAGCCCATCGCACCGTCTCTACCCTCAACACCCTCCGCTTCGCAAAGTCCTTCTCCACCACATCCCGCACCATGACCGTCTCTCTCACCCCCAGTAAGTGAACTCTCCTCCTGTGCCTTGCTTTGCTTGACCAGGATGTCCAGCGTAATTCAGGACTATGTCTCGTCCTTCAATTGCTGTTTCCTTTTCCAGTCAATCTAACTAACACCTTCTTCCTTCTCTCTTGACACCTCTCCGTTTCTTCTTTCACACAATGGCACTTGCATCGCCCCCCCCCCCCCCCCCGGCAACCCTTGCAGACAAGATTCTCACCAGCAAGAATATGAATCAGCAGATTCGCGAGGCCCAATACGCCGTGCGCGGTGAGCTCGCTATCCGATCTGAAGAGCTCAAAAATGTATGTCCAATGACTGTCGCACACATTCAGGAATGGAGATGGAATTATCCGCACCTGGCTGCCCAATCTTCCCACGATCAGTACCTCAGCAGCCCAACAACAATTAAAAGACAGCAGCAGACGGCTATGACACAGCCCTTCTGCCGTTTTCCATCTCATTACGCTGTGGCTCCTGGGATTTGGACTCAGGAAGAGTCATTCTCTTTTCCACGCGTACTTTGCAAAGCAGAGCCCTACCCCACAGATACCATGCACCCAAAATAGGCCGCCGTGGGTGGTCTGCCAGTACTAGACAGGACTAGACAGGACTAGACAGGACTGAACGTGATGTAACCTTTAAAAGGACATCGACAGGCACGGAGAGCTATTAACGGACTACATGCAGTCCTGTTTTAATATTGCGCATGCATCCCCAACAACCACAACAACAATAACGAGCAATTTGTCGCACACTGTGCAACATGCACAAGGGCGCTTGACCATGTCCGGTCTTGGAACGGAGAAACATGACTCTGTTATGGTCGGATCGAACCATAACAGGGATCCTTGAACTATGCATTCGCCCTCTCACGCTCCCACCAGCAATTGGAATCCGCTTCACACTCACATGTTGTTCCATCCCATGACATGTCTTTATCTTCCATAGGAGCTCGCCAAGGGTGTTAACCTGCCCTTCTCGCGTGTCGTCGGTTGCAACATTGGCAACCCCCAAGCCTTGGATCAGAAGCCCATCACTTTTTTCCGCCAGGTATGTGCGACTCAACATTCCGTTTGCCCACGGAGACGCTGACTTTGATTGTTTATTGAGCGACTTCAATGACCGCACGATAATCTTTGACAATGTCAGCCAATCCCGTTGCTAACCACCCATAAATGGCGCCATCCGTCTTCTCACGCTCAACCTGCTCGATAGGTTGCGTCGCTTGTTGAATACCCAGAGCTGCTCAAGGAAGAGAACGCCGAGATCGTGTCGCGCCTCTACCCCAGTGACGCCGTTGCTCGTGCAAAGTTGCTCTTGAAGCACGTTGGCTCTGTCGGTGCCTATTCTCATTCTCAGGGTATTCCTCATATCCGTGAGAACGTCGCCAAGTTCATCTCTGAACGTGATGGATATGCCGCCGATCCCTCCAAGATCTATTTGACTCAGGGTGCCTCTGCTGGTGTGCAGCTCACCCTCGAGATGATTATCGAGCACAACAAGGTCGGCATTATGATCCCTATCCCACAATACCCCCTTTATACCGCCACTCTGGCTGTCCTGGATGCCAACCCAGTGCCATACTATCTCGACGAGTCCAAGGGATGGGGCCTCACCGTAAGTAATCACGGCATTTTTCGTCGGGAATTTGATCCGCTCTATGAAAAGCAGGTCCAAGAGTTAACTAGCTTGTGTTATCGTAATCGATAAACCATAGACTAAGGAGCTTCAACGCTCATTCGATGAGGCTGTCCAGAAAGGCATTGAGACTCGTGCTTTGGTCATCATCAACCCCGGCAACCCCACTGGACAGTGTTTGACAGAGGACAACATGCGCGAGATTATTGAATTCTGCCGCAAGAACAAGGTTATCCTTCTGGCTGACGAAGTCTACCAGACCAACATCTACAGACCTAAGGACCGCCCCTTCCATTCCTTCAAGAAGGTTCTCAAGTCCATGGGCTCAGACTATGAGGGCTTTGAGCTGATTTCGTATCACTCCATCTCCAAGGGCATGATTGGCGAGTGCGGTCGTCGTGGAGGTTACTTTGAGTGCGAGGGCTTGTGCGACACTGTGCTGGAGCAAATCTACAAGATTTCGTCGATCAGCTTGTGCCCTAACGTCCAGGGACAGATCATGGTTGACTTGATGGTTGACCCTCCCAAGAAGGGCGACCCATCGTACGAGCAGTACAAGAAGGAGTACGACGACATTTACTCCTCTCTGATCAAGCGCGCCGCGATCCTTGAGGAGACCTTCAACAGCCTCGAGGGCTGCACATGCAACTCTGCCGACGGCGCCATGTATCTCTTCCCTCAGATCCGTCTACCCAAGAAGGCCATTGAGGCTGCCAGAGCCGCAGGCAAGGAGCCTGATCATTTCTACTGCATGGCCATGCTGGAGTCGACTGGTGTGTGCATGGTTGCTGGATCAGGATTCGGTCAGGTCGAGGGCACTGCCCACTTCCGTAGCACATTCTTGCCCCAGCCTGAGTTGTTTGCTGATTTCTGTTCAGGCATCAAGAACTTCCATGCCGACTTTATGGACAGGTACAGGGATTAGAGCTATTCACAGTGGAATATATTCAGAGATAGCAGTATAAATAATTTTTACAAGGCGTTGCGCAAACATTCTACATGCATCAATGACAAAGAAGTGGCTTACAGCCACTTTCAAAAACACTCTCATTCCATTTCAAGGGCAAAGCAGTTTGTTCGCAGTGGTTCGTTGTTCGTCGTTCGCTGTTTTGCCATTCGTTCTCTTCCAACCATGTCTGCTTCCAAGTCCTATCTCGAGCGCTCCAAGCTCCATTCCAACCCCACGGCCAAGGCCTTTTTGGAGCTCATGGAGCGCAAAAAGTCCAATTTGTCTGTCGCTGCTGATCTCACCTCCAAGGCAGCACTGATCGAGTTGGCAGACAAAGTGGGCCCTTATATCTGTCTGCTCAAGGTATTGGCCTCCCCCCTCCAGGATTGGCTAATCTGACACCCCTATCTTTTCTCTAGCAAAAAGAAAATGCGCCGAATCCGGTAAGGATGCTGATCTGTGAATTATTTTACTGCAAAACTATGTAGACCCATATCGATGTCGTTGATGACTTTGATCACGACTTGGTGGACCAGCTCACGGCGTTGGCCAAGAAGCACGACTTTATGATCTTTGAGGACCGCAAGTTTGCCGATATTGGTTAGTGGTGCCACCCATGATCGCTGGTCTTCCTCGTGGAGTATAATCCAATTAAGCGTGGCTCAACTCGGCATATTGACGAGCATCGTTACCACGATAGGCAATACTGTCAAGCTTCAGTACAGTTCTGGTGTGTACAAGATCGCTTCCTGGTCCGACATCACCAACGCCCACACTGTTCCCGGCGAGGGCATCATCCAGGGACTTCGCGAGGTGGGACTCCCCTTGAACCGCTGCCTACTCTTGTTGGCTGAGATGTCGTCTGCAGGAACCTTGGCCAAGGGCGACTACACCAAGACGACGGTTGAATTGGCACGCAAGTACAAGGACTTTGTCGTTGGATTTATTGCCATGCAAAGATATGAGGACAAGGAGGGCGATGACTTTATCTACATGACGCCCGGTGTTGGACTGGATCAGACATCCGATGGGCTTGGTCAGCAGTGGAAGCACCCTCGGGAGGTCGTGTACGATCGTGGATGCGATGTTATTATTGTCGGACGCGGTATTTATGGCAAGGGCAGAGATCCTGCCAAGGAGGCGAAGCGGTACCAGGAAGCCGGATGGGACGCTTATTTGGAGAGGATCTCCAAGTAGAACGGTTGCTGTCTTTATTAAACCAAAAGGAATGATATCATAAGCTATATTCTGCCTTTGCCAGCAATGCTCGGATTTTTTTTTTCTCATTTTATTCAATAGAAAAAAAAATGAAAGCCAGTAAATTTGGTCGTGGTATCAACGATGAGGAATAGATGAGAGTCAAGATATTGTGTAGTCTAGTCGTTGTTTAAGAAGGAAAGCTGGTTCTAGGTGAAGTGAGAAGTGAGGAATGCTTCTTTTGAAGCGAGCACTTTCCCACCGCGACCATGACTGTTCTTTTACACGACCAGCCACGCAGAGTAAACACCCCTGGCGTCGCGTCCATATTCACATGCGGACCTAGCTCGTTCCAGACCTGATTCGCCTTCTGTTCTTCATTCCGTTCTGCTTTCCCAACAACGTCTCCCTCGCATCTACATGACTCCACCAGCCATCGACATGAACGCTGCCTCAACTACCATGACGACTGAAGACAACAAGCCCAAGACCGCCGCCTTCCGCGTCGGTCTTGGTGACATCACACCCAACAACCTGGGTCAGCTCAAGCGCCTGAACACAGTTCTTTTCCCGGTTGTTTATACCGCTAGCTTCTACAAGGACGTGCTCGACGTTGGCGAGTTTGCAAAGATTAGTATGTGTCTGGATGTTACCCAGGGTAGCGAATCGGATGCGACACGACAGTGGATATAAACAATCTTTCTAACCGGCTGTTGTTTACCCGCTGTTGCCTGATAGTCTACTTTAACGACGTCTGTGTCGGCGCTGTCTGCTGTCGCAAAGAAAATGTGGCTGGGTCGACATCCCTGCAAAATCTCTATATTGCGACTCTGGGAGTCCTCGCACCATACCGTCGCCTTGGATTGGGTACGATCTCTTGAATCGATTGAACAGGAAGAGGACAATGCTACGACACGATATCGCAAAGGGGGGGGAAATAGTTATTAATTCAGTGGTCATCACTGTTCATACAACTAGGGTCCAAATTACTGGAGCACATCATCGAGAATGCAGAGTTGCCGCCTTCGACGGGACCCAAGATTGCAAAGATGTATTTGCATGTGCAGACGGACAACGAGGAGGCATTAGAGTTTTACAAGAAGCATGGATTCAACGTGGCAGAGAAGTGCGAGAACTACTACCCACAGTTTGAAGTCTCGGATGCATTCAGGCTGGAAAAGGTGCTGGTTAAGGACGAGTAAGAGGGACAGGACATATATAACAACAAAGGACAGAGTCTTGAGCAAACGATCTACTTTTTATCGAATAAAGAGAAACGTTTTTGCTACACACGTCTATGGTCGCGGTTATGTGTTGCTGGGAGAACTGCGCGAGAAACGCGGATACGAATTGGCGCCTTTTTCATTCAGTGCCGCAATGTGTGGCTGTAGACATGTAATATGATGTTGCAATCGATCAAAGGGACGGGCTGTGCGGAAGAAGAGGGGCTAAAAATATATATAAAAGAGCGCGGAGAACAGTAGTCTAGCCTTTGCCCAATACCCTCACGCGGCGCTCTCTCTTCCCTGCGTTCACTCGTTTGATTCCCTTCATTGAAAACACACCCCGCCTTCGCCCATTCAATAGGTACCACCTGTTCTGGAAAGATCAGCACACAACTCGCCCGCCATGGACTTTTCTCAGTCGTCCTTCAGGTACCCAACCAATCAACAGCAATTCACTAGCGCGCTCTTGTTCGGCTGTCTCATTCAGTCTCGATCACACTCCTTTTGTTCGAGCAAACGACCTGACCCTTGTGGCCCTTTGACGTGCCCTCCATTGCTAGGGTTCAAGGCTATTACGGATATGAGGAGACATATTCAGACTATGGAATCATAAAACCAGGTAACACTCGAGCGCCTCGACGGATAAATGACCCATGCGTATTTCACGCACTTTATGCTCAACGGAGGGAAACACGATGTCTAATGCCGCTTGGTGGGTGTCTTCTTTTCTCCGCAATGGTTAATTGACGCGCTGATAGGCAAAAAGACCGCCAACTCGACTGGTCTTACAGGCCAGCTGGTGATTTCATTTGCCCTGGGGTTTGCAGCCCTCTTCCTCTTTTGCCTACTAAGAACTCGATGGGTGGTCATGTTTGCTCCTCGCACAAAGCTCCGCAGGTAATGTTTTTGCGGGAGAGGATAATGACGTTGAAGAGATGATGGATTTGCAACCATGGCAAGGAAAACCATGCAGCAATAGGCATGGGAATGGAAGATTCTGCCGTGTCTAGATTGTTCTTCCTTCACCTACTGTCAACTATAGGCAAGGTTGGAACAGGGAAGACGGCTGACCGTTATTTTTGTTCCTGTTCCTGAATTTTTCCCACAAATACCAAAGGCACACTCCCCCTATCCTCTCAACAACGTTCTTTGGATGGATCCCACAGTTGTTACGCATTCCGGAGGCGGAAGTGCTTGACTGCGTCGGTCTTGATGCAGCGATGGTAAGTGCTATAGAAATGGCTCACGCGACACATTGGGATTGTTAAATAGGAGTATGATATTGCAATCACCTTTGCGCAATGGTGCTGACGATAGTTCTGCCCTGTCTCCCGTAGTTGCTTCGGTTCTACCACATGTCAATCAAACTGTTTTCGTGTTGTATGATCCCTGGACTCTTGGTCATTTTGCCTGTCAACTACTACTCCGCCGAAAAGAACAGCGGTCCAGCATACCCGAATGACCCAGACGATGACGGATCTGTACCATCCTATCTCGATGGAAATACAGAATTCCAGGGCACTTCGCTTCTCTATCTGTTCACCCAGTTCACCTTCACGTGGGTCTTTTCCATCCTCACCATGTACGCCATCTGGCACACGTACGAGGGTTATATCGCCATCCGACGCAAATACATGATGAGGCGTTCAAATTCTATCACCAACCGTTCTGTGATGGTCGTCGGTCTGCCCTCTCATCTTCAGAACGACCGTGCATTGGCAACGTTTTATGAGTCCCTGGGCGCCGGAACGGTGGAGAGCGCGCATGTATGCCGTCATGTGAGAACACTGAAGCGGATGGTTGAGCAGCGCGCTCACGCCCTAAGGATGCTTGAGGATGTTTATTCAAAGTACTATGGCAATCCCTCGGATTTCCCAGGATATGATCCGGACAAGGTCCTGGCTGACAACGACCGTCTTCTCACTGACGCTCACGCAGAGGATGAGGATCACGACGAGAGCACGAATGAAAATTCATCCCTTCTCCGTCCTCAGGGCAAAAAGAGACCAACCATGCGACTGGGTTTCTTGGGACTCTTCGGCAAGAAGGTCGACAAGATCGATCATTGCAGGGAGATCTTTGTGACACTCGACAGGGCCGTCCAAAAGATGCGCCTGTCGCGTATTTTTGCAACCACTAGCATCGGGTTCGTCACCTTCGAGGACATGCGTTCCGCAGTAGGTGCCAGTTCCGGAGTTTTAGCTTGGGTCCTATGATGATCAGCATTAAGAGCGAACATGATCTAGTAGCAAATTCTGACGAATTCCTCCTTTTATCAATGATAGCAAACCCTGGCACAAACGGTCAACACTCAAGAAACGCTTTCGTGCGAAACAACTCTCGCGCCAGAGCCACGCGACGTCTTCTGGGATAATCTGAACCTCCCACCAAGCGAGCTTGGCGTCCGATCTGTCGTTGTGAACACAACAGTGTTCTTCTTGATTTTCTTCTGGTCTGGACCGATTGGTGTGTTCTCATCTTTCTTGAACCTCGAGTCGTTGGAGAAGCTGATCCCTGGTGTCTCCAAGATTGCGGCGGCCAGTCCAGTCCTCAAGTCCTTGATCCAAGGATTTTTGCCCACCGTTGGTGTCACAGTCTTCTTGGCTGTCGTACCCAAGATCTTGGGGGCCCTCTGTGAGTCCCAGGGCATTCAGTCGCGCTCTGGAGTCGCACGATCGCTTTACAACAAGTACTTTACGTTCATCCTCTTCAATGTCGTCCTTGTGTTCACGGTCGTTGGAACTTGGGCACAGGCTGTCAATAAGGTCTACCATGACATTGGCGAACTGACGCTTCTGCTGGCGGCTTCACTTCCTCGGGTTGCGCCCTTCTTTGTTAACTATGTCATCCTCAAGGGCGTCGGCTTATTCCCACTTCAGCTCCTGCAGATCGGTGATGTTATCGAACAGACCTTCCGCGGCATACTGTCCAAGACCCCTCGCGACTACGCTGAGGCACGCGCACCACCAGAGCTTCACCATGGAGTCGTTTATTCCAATGCCACCTTGATGTTCGTCATTGTGCTCATCTATTCGTGCATCAAGCCTCTGATCCTCGTGTTTGGTGTGATATTTTTTGTTCTGGGCTACGTTGTCTTCAAGTACCAGCTTCTCTACGTCTTCTTTCATCCTTATGAATCCGGCGGCAGAACCTGGCCTATGGTCTACAACCGCATCACTCTGGGTTTGCTCATTTTCCAATTGACAATGCTGGGGCTCTTCATGTTGAAGCAATCCTACATCCTCGGAGCCTTGTTGTCACCTCTTCCCATCGGCACTGTGTGGTTCTGGTACTGGACGACAGGCATGTACAAGGATTCTGCAGAGTTCATTCCGCTCGAACTCCTTCGTCCCTCTGAACTCGAGGCCGAGATCGGAGCCCATAATGCATATTCTGCTCAGGAGGAGGAGGCCTCTGCAGTAACAGCTGCTGCCATTGGATCTTCAAATCAAGTACCTGGACATGTTCTCATCAGCATCGATGGCGTCAATAACCAGCAGTCCAAGGCCTCGAACGGCAAAGGGAACGGGAAAGGAAACGGCGTGGTTGTAGGTACCGCAGCGGCTGTGGTCACGCCCGGGGGAACTCAGCGTCCTGTCCCCAAGAGCGTGGTCGAGGATGATGATTACCAGGCAATTCCCGACCGGTACACGGATTACCGACAGCCACCGATGACATTGTTCCCTGGAGTGTTGAACTCTGGTATGCGACAGTACAACCATCCGGCAATGGCAGGACCCCTACCGACACTGTGGTTGCCGCTCAGGAAGGGTGATGCGGGCAAGAATCCGAATCAAGACGAAGAATCGAGAATTGGCGCACACTATACGGATTCAGATACAGAATCTGAGCATCATGTACATGAACACGTTGAAGCAGCGTTGGCACGACCACCACTGATGTTGCCGACTCAGGGGTCGGATGAGCCACAGAGCTACGATGAAGGCGACAATCTTGTTGGAGGAGGACAAGACGAGGATATACCGGGACCTGAGGGCGGACGTAAGAATACTACGTCGACTACTGCAGATGTTGGAACGGCTACGACGAGCGGCTCTCCTGGTCGGGCTCCCCAGGCCATTCCTGCAACACCTGCTGTTGAAACTGCAGCTGCGTCATCGTCATCTGCGCAACCAGATGCAACGGTAGCAGCAGCAGCAGCAGAAGAAGATTCCAAGAGGAATTCTGCAGTAGAAGGCATCAATGATGTGTATTACCATCATCCAGAAAAGCGAGAGTCTGGCACAACTGCTGTTTCTTCTTCCGATCCGCCTGGCACCAGCGAACGCGTTCGGACTGTTCAAGGTCAAGGATCGAGTGGCAATCTTCTGCGTGACCAGACAAATTCTGCTGCAGAAGATAATGCCGACAGAGCAGGGAACGCGTCTTCGAATAAGTGATGAACCTTGTCTGGCGATACTTTGACACCTTGCGCGCCAAATAAAGTAAAATAAAAACGTTTTGCATCATACAACAAAATCGCATGCGGGGGGGGGTTCGGTGCACGGGCCAAGGTGATGATTTTTGAGTGAGTATCAAATTTAGCAGGGCTCTTGTTTCATGAAATTTCAAGACGGAGAGCCAGGGCAATTATTTTGGTCAGCCAATCACCGTGCACCACCGAATCGCAGGGCAAGGGCAGCAAAGGGCGTTCTGGATCCACATTTCATCCCCCTTTCTCATCTCTTCATCACATCACATCTCCCCCTCTCCTCTCATCATGACAGAAAAATACGTGCCTTCGCCCGAGGCAGCCGAACAGGGCCTTTATGTCGCATACGCAGCCCTCAGCACGATGGCCGTCGTGCCCATTTACTTTGGATCGTTCGGATCACTCAAGAAGTGGAAGGTAACAACAACTGTGCAACGGTGTCAAGCCTACGAAGATGAGCAATTGATGATCCACAGAAAGGCAGCACGATCTAACAAGGATTATTTTCGATGTGTCCTGTATAGAACCCCAAGGACAAATCAAAAAAGAAGAAGCCAGAGGATTCTGACGACTCTGACGATGAGGACGAGGCTTCTGAATCAATGTCGTTAGAGGACGCATACATGTTCCCCATCTTTGGATCAATCACGCTCTTTGGCCTGTATCTGGTCTTCAGATACGTGGACAAGACCTACGTCAACTACCTCCTCACTGCCTATTTCGGACTCTTGGGTGTCATGGCTACGACTCAGGTCGGTGTCAACTGTGTGGCGCCAATTGTGAAGCTGTGTGGAATCGATGTTGACAAGTGGCATTTGACCCTTACCAAGAAGAAGAAGGGTAGGACCTATTGATCTGTGTATAGGTGGTCTGCTTTTTTTTTTCAGGCGGTCTGTTGATGTATCTGCTAACGTTTTTAATCATTATTGTTGCCCGACTCGATCCGACAGAACTCTACTCGGCCAAGTTCACCATTCTCCACTTGATTTTGACGGTCGTTTCAGTTCTCCTGTCAGGATACTATGTCGCCACCAAGAACTGGATCGCCTCCAACATTTTCGGTATCTGCTTTGCACTGAACGCCATTCAGTTGCTCTCCCTGGACTCGTTCAAGACTGGAATGATTCTGTTGAGCGGTCTCTTCGTGTACGACATCTTCTGGGTCTTTGGCACGGAGGTCATGGTTTCGGTCGCCAAGAACTTTGATGCTCCTGTCAAGGTCATCTTCCCTCGCCTTTTCTTCGGACTGCCTGCTGGTCAGCCTTATCAGTTTGCTATGCTTGGATTGGGCGACATCGTGATCCCTGGTGTCTTTGTGGCTCTCTGCTTGCGCTTCGATCAGCACTTGACTGGTACCAAGAATCCTAACCTTGGACGCTCGACTCGCTTCTCTAAGCCATATTTCACCGCCTGCTTTATCGCCTACGCCCTTGGATTGGGTACCACGATCTATGTCATGCACACGTTCAAGGCTGCTCAGCCTGCCTTACTTTACCTCTCGCCTGCATGCATCTTGAGCGTGCTCATCATGGGACTTGCCCGAGGCGAGATCAAGGAGGTGTTCGCATACACATCGGAAGAAGGCGCTGAGGCTGAAAAGGCCAAGAAGGCCGAGGAATTGAAGAAGAAGGAGGACAAGAAGAGTAAGAACAAGAAGGACGCTTCTGAGTCTGAAAAGAAGATCGAGGACAAGGACGTGCCAGTGAAGCCCTCGAGCAGTGACTCTGACCAGGAGACGCCCAAAGCCCGCAAGCGCAAGGGCGGCAAGACGCAAAAGAAGAAGTAACGTGATTGTTTTGTGGCCCTGTTGCTGGTCCGTGTGAGACAATAAACGATTCGATAGATTTGTATCAGCATTAAGAGAAAAACGAAACACCTTGTATTGTATTCTTTTTATCTTGTTTCCGTTGTTCGTGTCTTGGTTTCAATAAGCTCGGAGCAGAGCTTCTCGTATGGATGCGTTTGTCCTTCTCTCTTTCTCTGCTCCGTATCAAATGTTATCATCTCTTGGCCTTTACGCGCATTTCTCCAGTTGTGCAACACAGCACAGCACAGCACATCACCCAAATGATAAAAATTCAACTCCTTTGTTCGCGAATGCGAGCTCGTCATATTAGGAGCATTGCCAGAAACAAGTGAGCGCCATACCTCGTAGGTCGCGCCTATAGTTATTTACACTTTCCTTTCCCTCTCCCACTCCCCTCTCCCCCCCTCCGCCTCCCCTATCTTCGCTGATCTGAGAAACAGAACTTTAACACAACCTGGTATAGGATATACCAATTGTGCTTACTCCAGCAAAGATGTATAGCGCATTATTCGCCGGATGTTTACATGTGTAGAATGGCTAGACCACCAGAGGTTTGTTCAATTGCTTTCCCCTTCTCTCTTAGGTATACGCGCATTTCTTCTTCCATCCCCTTTTCATACTATCTCCATTACGTCTAGCATGAATATACTCAGGATTTCCCTAGACTTTATTTTATTTATGTTTCCTTACGTTAACGGGCAAAGGGGGAGGAAGGGCATGAGAAGGGGGGGAAGGGGAGGGGGGAGAAGGGTATGAGAGTGGGGGAGGGGAGGAAAGAGAAGGAAGTGTGGAAGTGTGTCATCTGAATGCGCGAAAAAGGACAATGCAGACAATCGCGGAGGACCCTGTTGTGTCGCTCAAGTCTAAACCGGTCCAACCGCGTTTTCTTTTTTCTTTTTTCTTTTTTTCTTTTTTTCTTTTTTTCTTTTTTTAATCAAAGGAGATGAGGATGGTGCGGTTTCTCTACCCTCTTTGCTCAGATCTCTTCAGATTTGAGCAATTGAACATGTTGATACTATGTAGACTTTCTACTCATTGTGGAAGTGAGTGTGTGCTAGATAGTCTACGCACCTGGGGTAGCAATTGCACAGCACTACATTGACATGGCTATATTTTGGGCTTTTTAAGTTGTTGCGCTCACATACGATCGGGCGCCGATTTTCGAGATCCCAAAGGCTCCTTACATCTTCTACCTCCCCTTATCACTCGACATCCCTTCCTCCCCCCCTTCCCCCCCTCCTCCTCCCTCCCTTCTCCCTTCCCCTCACACCTCAACGCTTTGATTCATCCGTCTGAAAAAAGGGACAATCTATCAATGGAGTACCATTTCATTCTCCTTTGTGAAGAAATGCTGTCATTTCTGCTGTCATATCGTCCATTCTCCTTCCTCTGACTCCCTTCCTTCGTCTTCTATACCATGCATTATGACTCTATTGCATTGGGGTAAGATACGTCTGAGAAAACTGGTTTTTTTTTTGCCGATTTGAATATGCCAGATGAATGTGTGTACACAATATCCTGCAGGAGGGCTACTTGACAAGTTTAATTATGCCAAGCTTTATAGATCGCGCTTTTTTTTTTTTTTTTTTACCTGCTCCCTCTCTCTCCGCCTACCTCTCTCTCTTTTTTTTTTTTTTTTTCCTCTCTCTCTCTGTCTCTCTCGTTCTCTTATGGTGCTCCTTACTCATTTTTGGTGTTGTATTTTTGGTCCTCTTCCCCTGAATTCGTTCGTTCCTAAATGGGAGGAAAGAAGGAAGAAAGTATACCTCGAAGGAAAGGGAAGGATAGAAACAGTACAAAAAAGTACATGTAGGACTGAAAAAAAAAGGCCTAGTCTAACACCCTGTACCTGTTGGACCTGTCCGGTCAAACGTTTTTTTTGTTTGTTATTTTTCTTGTAGATTGTTGGGAATAAACAAGACGCGAAAAAAAAAAAAAAAAAAAAAAAAAAAAAAAAAAAAAAAACATATCATGCGTGCATGCAGAGGCACACTTTTGCAGCAAAATGGATATGTTTCACTCTGGATAACAAACCGAAACGGAATGGGAAGAAGAGGAAGAAGAAAAAGAAGGAATGGGCCGATCGAGAGATGCGATGCTAACAGGCATGATCATCCGAAGATACAGCACATGTAGAACTACTCAGGCACGGCAAACAAAAACTCAAAAAAAATCCAGAAAAATAAAGTGCAGCCGTGTGTTCATGGCATGCCACAGGTAAACTGCAATGAACACGATGGCGCTTGAACACAAGAAATCAGAAGAAACACGTCAAGTCAATCGCTAAAAGCTCGGCACGGTTGTCATTATCATTGATTTTTTTTTTTTTTTTTTTTTTGGCATTTCTAATTGCAAAATGGGAGTTGTGCGGATTGTACATATGCACACACGCACACACACACAAAAAGAATCACCAGCGCTGTTGCTGTTGGTTGTGATCGATGCTTACTAACGAGCCATTTCTTCATGCAAATGTGAGTATGTGCCAACTTCTCGTTAGCTACTTTGGTGTGTATAGTGAGGGACCATGGCGCTCCTTGACTTGGTCCCCTTTTTGTTGGAACCAGCCGCCATAGGCATCAAGTCAACTACTTTTGATCCGCGTCGCAGAGAGCGTTGTGTTCTTAAGATCATGACAGTTTCTTTCTCCAAGGAGACTTTTGTCAGCAGACGGCTGAACTGCGTTCGCGGAACAAGGGAGCAATACAGCGGTACTGAGACTTGAAGGGAAAACCTGTTCATTGACAGATGATCAGCATTCCCTTTCCCCCCGCCCCCCTCTCCTCCCCCCATTCTTCCCTTGTCTCCCTAGTACCTTTGTTTAGCCCTTCAATTGAATCGTCTGCAAGTCGTTGCGGCACTGCACATCCGATATGCATCAAGGACATGTTTCCTGCAGCATGTGCTGGACATTTTGAATTCCAATGGGCCGTCAATTTACAGGGTGCAGCTATGCGACAGTAGCGTGTCCTGCGAAAATTGGTCTTTGGCCACGTAGTGTAGATTGACCTTCCTTCAATTAACAGACACACAAACAGACGCCCCGATATGTCTGGGTGTATGCACCATGGTATGGGGCTATTTTGTGTCGTTATTTTAAATCGCGTTGAATGTATTAGCGCACGTAAACCGCCCACATACTCTGCCTACAACTTTCTGTGTCGCGTCCCTTCCATCCCCCATCCCCTTTTCACATTATGATTTTGAGCGAGTGGTTTTCCTTTTACCTCATCCATCTTGGCCGTTTTTCTTATAACAGGCCCAGCCTCGCTCTCTTTTTTATTCCCTTCTTCAATCGTTTCTCTTTCCTGTTCCCTTGACAACATCAGAATAATAATAATAACAAAAAAAAGCACGTTGCGGTGACACACCCATCCTTGGCCATATTCTAAAAATTTGTTCCGGTGGCACAAACCTCCTGCACTCTTTACTTGTCACATCCCTTTACACCCTTCCATTGATCAATCCTGCGACCGGCGACTTTTTTTTTTCTCGAGTTATATAACACCACCTTCAAGCTGCTTCTGCGTGGACCTGTTACAATTTTGTGAATACACCAACAATTGGTCGATACACCGCTGATCCGTAATGATTCGCCACGGCCGCTATGCTAGCCACGATTTGCCACCAACAAATCACGGCCAAAAAGGCGCTATCACAGCGCCACCTCGTATTCAAGAATATGATGTTCACCATCCACGTCCCTCTCAGTCCTTCAGTGCGACTCCAGAAGGCCCGAACTACTATTCGCAGCATGCGATCCAGCAGCAGTATCAATTGATGCATGGACATGTCCAATATCCGACAAGTCAGCATCCTAGCCAGAATACACCAGATATTTCTCTGCAGCAGTATCCTCAGCCATGCCACCAAAAGTACTATTCCGCCGATGGAGATAAGCTTGGCACTGGAAACCCTCGCCACTCCCACTCTTTAAGCCATCCTCACCTCTATCATTCCGCCCACCAAAACTACGCGTCGCCCCCTCCGCCTCCCCCATCAGCTCTTCAAGGCCGACAACAGCAGCAACAACATGGATCTCTGCGCCCACATCCGCTGCAAAGCAGTCAACCCCTGCAACGCTCCCAATCCGCTACCGGCAACTCATTGTCCCCCACCCCTGCATCCAAATCTGGAGAGGAGGGTCATCGCCCACAGTCAGAGCTGGCCTTGGAGTCGGATGATTCGGTGTCGGACTCTGAAACAGGAAATGGCGGTGTTCGATGGACGCGCCAGGAGGTAATGAACGAATTAAAAATGATTTCTGTGTTGTCGTTCAGAACTTTATTTGATGCGCGTCGCGCGCGATTCGTTGGGAGCCCGTTCATTTGTCTTGCTGAGTGTGTTGCACAACGTAGAAAGGTTATATCCAGCGCACAGTCCAGCCTTTTTGACCTTGACGCTTCATGCCTAGCTGAAAGAGATAGGGAGAGGGTCTTAAGAATGCCCATGAACTTTTCTTTTTTTTTTTTTCATCTTGGCTGCTGGGTCTGGTCTGTGTTACTGGTAGATGAACGGTCAAGGATTGGTGGGGCGAGGAGCATAACTTTGCGCGTGTATGTAATCCTCAAAAGCTCGAACGTCCAGTCGTTTTCACTGGATTCCTTCACAGCGATTTTTATTTCTTACCTCAACCCGCGCTTCCCCATCATCTTTCCACTTCACCTTCTCCACTTCGCCTTCTCCACTTCGCCTTCTCCACTTCGCCTTGTACTACAGGCGAAAACAAAGCCTTGAATCCTTTCCTGGTTTCTTGGCGTACTAAAAGGGTACCCCAAGGGGAGGACAAAGACGCAGCATGACGGCGGGTTGCGTTAGAATCAAAGCCCTTTCTGTTTCCCTTCCCTTCCCTTCTTCCCCCCCCCCCCCCCCCCCCCTTTTTTTTTTTTTTGTGCGCGCGTGCGTGCATGCCGATGTGTGTACGGTGTGCTGCGTTGTTCGTTTGGTTTGTTCTCTACTTTGTGTTTCTTGGAGGGCGTCTTTTTTAGCTTCTTTGGCCGTCCTATGGCTGTTTTGGGAGTAGTCCGCTGTACGCTACAGCTCTGCAAAATGGGCTTCAATGACAGAGCGTCGAATATGCGTCAATGCGAACCCGCCAGCCGCCTTACCGCTCCCTTTCCCCCCTCCCTCCTTCCCTCTCTCTCTCTGTCTCTCTGCCTCCTCCGCCTCTTCGCATTTTACGTTTTACATTTTACATTTTACCGTCTGCGCTGGTTATCCACTCCTGAATTCTTAGTCTCACAACATACCTCATTTCTGCTCCCTACCGACGGGACATAAAGACACACCCTCCCCCCCTCCCCCCGCTGTCCGTAAAAAAAAAAAAAAAGACAAAGACAAAAAAAAACGACTTTGTTTCTTCTGTTTCTTCTACTCCCATCCCTCAGTCATCCCTATCGCAGCCACAATTGAGGAATACCCCCTCCAACGGTCAGCGCTGTTCCACATCACACTCACTTTCCCACCCTTTTATTCCTTTTATTCCTTTATTCAACCACCTCCTATCACTGCTCGCTTCGTCTAAAAAAAACAGTGTCTTACTGCTCTTATCGTAAATACCACATCTTTCACATACTCGCATTTCATCCCACATGCTTTCCAAAACTCATTTACTGATACATTCGCACCTCATCTATCACCTTCGTCTCCCCCTCATAAATCATTTCTGAACAACCCTCGCTCTAAACAGGATAATCTACTGCGCGAAGCGGTCGTCAAGTTCAACGGCAAAGCCTGGAAGCGAATTGCAGAATACTGTTTCCCCGACAGCTCCCGAGACAAGGACCAGTGCCTCCAACGTTGGAGAATGATTTCAAAGCCTCGATCCATCAAAGGACCCTGGACACCAGAGGTACATTGCGTGCTTGCGCTAGCATGTCCTTGAAAGGACGGTTGACCTTCGACATGACACTTACTATCATTATCAATACATCACCTTATCATCATTATCGTCATCATTGTAGGAGGACCGACAACTTCGGGCACTCGTCAATGAACTCGGTGCTGAGAAATGGGTCCTGATCGCCAGTCGACTGGGTTCCCGCACTGGCAAACAGTGTCGCGAGAGATGGCACAACCATCTTGACCCTACAAGTAATTAAAAACCTTGGTGTTGCTTGCATAGTCATGCCATACGAAGGTTTCAAAATGTTGACATCAAAGGCCTTTGTTACCTGGTTTCTTTAGTTGATAAGTCACCTTTCACACCAAAGGAGGACGAACTCATCTTCAAACTTTTTGACCAGTTCGGATCTAAATGGGCAGAAATGTCCAAACTCATGCCTGGTCGACCAGACAATGCTATCAAAAACCACTTTAACACATCCATGCAGCGCAAGCGAAGGCGCTTGAGTTTACAGGACCCATCAGGTATAGTTCTTACCTCACGATCGACCAGCTACGTACATGATACTTGAAGGGTATGCACGCTTAACATAGTCATGCGAATCGCAAACCTATCTTTCGATAGAGCTTCAAATGAAGTTCAGCGAACATGGATCCGGGCCATCTACGTCGGTCACTTCTCCCCTGGCCTCTCCAACGACAACTGCTTCGCCCCCTTTTCCCCGCAGCCACAGATTCGATCCATATGGTATGTGGGTGCCACGCACAGCTGCAATAGGGTAACGTCATGCTATAAACTGAGCCCTAACCATACTGCCAACCCTCTATGATTCTATTTAGAGCGTCGGCATTCAATGCCTACACTCGAACTGCCTGCCATTTTCCACATAGCAGGCCAGACACAAGCTCAGCAGCAATCTGGCTCAGAGGAACTGCACGATGCCATCCCTCAGGCATCTCGCAGTATAATGACACCTCCCAAGACCCCTGATTCCAAGTTCAAGGTGCATTTTTCTCCAGGCATGTCGCGGTCCAACTCGATGGGCCATGCCTCTAGAACGAGCACCGGACATAGCAGGCCTAATCTTCCAGGCAATCCTTCGATCCACAAGTCCAGCAATCCGTATTTTGTCTCGACCTCCATGCCGATAACATCTCTTGCATCTATCCCTCCGAGTAAGTTGGGCCGTGCTTCCTCTGCACTTGCCATTTCAACTGCGTCCCGACCCAAGTCGCCTTATACTGAAGATCAAGGCTACAGTTACTACCAGCAGGAACAGCAATTGCAACATTCGCTGCCGCGTCCGAACCTGACTAGACACGAGTCTCTGGGACACCAACCCACAAGAGATGAGTATCGTGAACACCACCGTTCGATGGATATAGATCCTTTCTCTGCACTTGCTGAACTGGCCAACGTGGCAGAGAAGCACCGAGACATGCGACCCACGACGATGAGTGTTCACAGCCCGGATGAGATGGACGAAGATGGCAACGCGAGTGCGATGAGAGCCATGATGGCAAGGTCCGGTGGCCTGGCACGTCGCTTCTCGACCTCTTTGGATAACCTGAAAGAGGAAGAGCATGCGGACGAAAATGGCTATCATCGTGTGCAGCACTCGTACCACGTTGACCAACGATCCGTATCGAACAGCAACTTGCATAGCCAATTTGAATCCCAAGGGCCTTCCACTCCCTCGCCTACGTCAAGAGTCCCGGTTCACCCTTACTTCCAAGCTGAGTCTTCTTCGGAGGCCTATTCCACCTCGGATCATGGCGGTGGTTCAGATCGCGAGCAAGACTATGCGGACTATGGTGTTAGGAGAGAATCGTCTCCCGGTCCGAGTGCACCCTACCTTGCCATGCGCCGAGGATCTGTTCGAGAGCTCATGGCCATTAACAATCTGTGCCTGAGCTCCGAAGAGATGGAGCGTTGCTAAAAAAAAATAATGACATCCTTGATCTTTATTGTTCCTTTTTTTCGTTTGTATATACGTCCATTTGCAAGTGTTTGTTTCCTAATGATATATCCATAATACCACTTCCTGCTATACTATCGTCTCCGTGTCGTTTCTGTTTCATGCTATCTTTTCACCATAGAATTATAAGAAAAAAAAATTACAACAATAAATCGATTTGCCACTGCAACCACAACGCATACTATTATTATTCGTGCAGTGCTCCCGCGCAATGCGCTGCGCGGGACGCGTCCGAGAATGCTCGTAGGTGGGCAGTCACCGGTATAAAAAGCTCGAAGCAACTCAGGGCATCCTCATCAAGCATCAACAAAAGCGGCAGCAAGCGAGACAAGGACCTCGACTAGCTTGAAAAGAAAAAAGACATCGAAGGAAAAAACTCAAGGATATCAGGATCACAAGGAATGACAAACACGGACAAGCCCACGGTGGTGCATCAGATCCCAGTGGATCAGATTGATTTCTCGCCCAACATCAGTTCTGATGCCGAGAACTTTTTCCAGTCGGATGCGGACATTGCGAGGATGGCAGCCCGGCAAGGGATGGTCAACTATGATAAGGGACAGGCTATCAAGCTGCCGTCGAAGGTACTGGATATTTGTCAAGGAATTGTTCCAGTGAAATCTACGGCGGAGATATCGGGGGACAAGGACTTGAAGGATGCGACGTTGTTCTTGGCAGAGAGCGGGCATGTCGCGCGCAAGATCAGTGCAGAGGTGGGTAGAGTCATTTCAAGAGCGCAAGAATGGAACGATGCGTAGGCTCGATCAGAGTACGGGATACTCACTTGTCCTTATTTTGGCGCTGTGTTGTGTTGGATAGACCGGCAAGACGATCAAGTTGTTCCAGGGCCATACGGGTCCGGTGACCCGGGTAGCCGTATACCAGACACAGCTCGGACAGGAGCGTCTCGTTACTGGATCGTGGGACAAGACCATCCGGGTCTGGGATACGGAGACTAAAGAGTGTCTTGCCACCCTCAAGGGCCACACGGATTTCGTCAAGGCACTCACGGTTCGGACGGTTGTTCTAACGGAAAAGGATCAAGGCCTGGGTCAGGATCGGGATGAACAGGGGAAGGAGAAGAAGAAGAAGAAGCGGATCGGACATGAGTTGTTCTCGGCGTCATATGATGGCACGATCATGCACTGGGATCTGCAAACGTTCGAGCCGTTCCAAGGTGGGGCTGGCGGACCCTGGAAGGGACATGTGCGCGGGGTGAATGATCTGTGCCTGACGGTGGAGGAGGACAATGATGAGCGTGCAGACGACGATAATGAGGAAGAAGGGAAGCAGGATCGTGGGAAAGAGTATTTGTATTCAGCTGGAAGTGATAGTACGATCCGGAAGTGGGATATCGCGCAGGGACAGGGGCGAGGTGGGCATTGTGTACATGTCTTTGAACACCATGAGACGACGGTTTATAAGGTCATTGTCGCGGGCGTGGAGATCTGGTCAAGTAATGCACAGATATAGCCATGGAGATCGTGCGACGCTGCAATGTTTAGGAGAACCTTACGCGTCTTACAACGATTTTTTTTTTCTCTCCCTCTCAAAAGCATCTGCGGATAAAACTGCACGGAGGCTGGATCTTGAGGTAAGGATTGGATATGTTCGCTGAAGTGTTGGATGGGTCAAGAATACGGTACTTGTTGATCGACAATTGCTGACATGTGTAACTTGGTTTTATTATTTTCCCAAGACGAAAAAGGTGGATATGAGGTTGGAGCATCCGGATTTCGTCAAGTCGATTGCTCTGGCGGGACCTTATGTGATTACAGGTGGACGACAGGAAACCGTGCGTGTATGGTCCGTAGCCGTAAGTGATGATTCATTTCTGAACATTTTATTTGATCCGTGTACAGTAACTACGCGAGGTCCTAATTGACTTTTTCGTGCCTCATGATGATCAGACGGGCAAACTCATCAAAGAAATTAGCGGTCATTTTGATGAAGTGTCAAGTATGGTCGTGATTGGATCCACATTATTCACTGGATCTCTCGATGGGACAGTTCGTCGCTGGTCTTTGAAGGAGCAAGACTTGATTGCGCCAGTGGCTCCCAATGAAAATGAAGGAACTGCTATAGCAGCAGAGCCTAGGTCATCGAATACCCCTTCGGTAGCCAAGGGTTCATCAAAGGAAGAGGAGGCTGCCAAATCGAGCATGATGACAGAGGAGGAGGAGAGAGAACTGGCAGAGCTCATGGGTAGCGATGACGATGATTAATGACAACCAGGATATATTGTATAATGGACGGTTCTTGTCTCCCCACCCCCTCTTCCCCCCTTTTTCTTTTTTGACTAGGCTTCCCGTCCCCGTATTCCTTTCTTAACCAATCCCGATTCAAAGCGAGCCTACACCCAAGAACAGGGCCAGTAAATAAACTAGAATATGCGTTGGTCTGCATCTGTGGACGATAAGATGTTGTCGATTTTATGGGAACTCATTTTGTGGGGATATATGTCACATTGCATCGCACGCACACAGTTTAAGATGTGTATATTACCCCCTGATTTTTAATTGTCACTGCTGCTATTGTTTGTTATGCAGCAGCAGCAGTAGCAGCAGCAGCAGAGGTGGGACCGTAGCAGGAACGGTGCTCCATAGGATCGAAAGGGTTGGACAAGGGGTAGGGAGACGGGAGGGCGAGGCTAAACAGGTAGCAGGTATTCTCGAATGACATCTCGAGCCGAGCAAAGGTTTAAATGGTTGCTCGCTACAAGGCAATGCGATTGGTAACATAACGCGACACTAGTCTCATGGATAACATGAACTTTGAACATAAACTTTGAACCGACGACGACCTGAGAAAGCGATTCATCGGGTGCGTTCTGAGTAAAAGAGACAAGGTCGGCCGTTCCAGAACGCGACCCTACAATCGCGACCCTGCAATCGTGATTTGGCACCGCATTGACTTTAATCCTGAGATTATGTTCTTTTGCGAATACCGTGTATGCTCTTGAGTTTGTAGCCGAATATCCATCCGGTGATAGTCTACCCTGCAACATTTAGTCCGCATTCATAATGTCCGTTTTTGAGGCAGTAACAACGCCGCCGTTCAATTGGGTTTGAGTAATCTGATCAATTGCGAACCAAACGAGGAAGATCGTTACACAAAGTTGACCGTACTTACCCCTGAATTTACCATCGCTTTTTGTATCCTAAAACCAAAATCCTCCCGGCACCCAGCCCCTCTCAAGTAATATGCTGCCACTATGGGACAGGCCTATCTAGCCAGCTTTGAGTTCGGTGATGGGCTCCAAGGACCGATAGAAAAGTTATGAAGTCCTAACTGTGGTCCTTGAAAGAATTATAGGAAATGTATTGAAAGTGTTGCCTTCAAAGACGCGTCTTGTTGGTCAACGTATGTTCCCAACCCGATCGAGTGCAGAGTCCACCATGCATGACAGTCCAACGCGCAAAAAGTAATAATAAAACCCCCGTATCGCTGAACCTTGGAAGGAAAAAGGAGGCCATGGTTTCCATGATGGGAATAGGGACAACTACTGGGTTTTTATCCCCTTGAAGGAAGATGGTCCTCAAAATCTGCGAGAAAGATCGTGCCAAGAATGACGAAACAAATGAAATGCGCCATGTTTAACAAATCGTGCTACAGGGATGCCGGTACTTCTCTTCTTTTTCTACTTCAGAGAAACCTTGTTTCTGTTATACTACGGACCACACCAGAACTGCACTGTATGCTCTTTTGGTGGGGTGTTTTCTCTCCTCTCCTCCTCCTTTTCCCCCTCGTGAGACCCTGTTCGCCGAACTGCATTGTTTTTGACAGTGAGTTTCTACAACTGATTTTACCTCCCCCTCCTCAAGTTCTTCCTACCACTAATTTTTAGGTCATGTTAATCAAATTAGTTCATGGAGTTTTTGCTCAATCGCGAAGAGTAGTTTTAGTTGCTTTGGTCACTTATAGCCGTTCATGAAGTACCGTGTTGTTACTTTTGCGCATTCCTTTCGGATTCATTCTACTCTTCTCAACATTTAATCCAATACTTCATCTTAACTCCCAAATCAGCTCTTATACCCCGATCTTTTTTTTTCGGAAGCCCACTTTCCAGTCGTTCTGCTTAGTCTGCTTCACCTGCTGCTTCACTACACCATCATCCCGTCGCGCAATCACACCTCCATACGCCCCATAAAATTACTTCAGTGCGTCTCGCCTAAATAGTCTAAGTGATTTTCCTCGGTCCATTTTCGGCCAACGGAAAATCTTGAGCGCAAACAGAATTAAAGGTAAGAGTGGTCCGTTCGAGCGAGCGGGATTGTGCCAACGAGCTGAGAACAAGAGTGATTGCATCACTTTCTTCAAGGGTCCTGCAACCTCGGCTTGGAGAAAGCAGCGCACATTCCCTCGTTGTACACGATAGGAATGCACGCATACTCGCACGCACCGTATTCGAGCAAATGTCTTGTAATGCGTGTCCTTGTCTAGATCATCTTGTACCCCCAACCCTTTCTTGCCTATGGATGCCTCAGTTTTCAACATTACCCTCTCATGCTTGAGCACAAGGAAGGAAGAAGCGAATGCGAATAATGGGAAGTAGAGTGAAAGGTAGGGTCGGAAACGACATAGTGGACAAGAGAAATAGAGAGAGAAAGGGAATGTGAGGTGGGACATGTTTTATGCGCGTTTGCGCGTTTACATTTTATGCGGTGAAGAAGCCCATGCACTGATTCATAAACAAAACGCATAAGCACAGTACACAAGGTCCATCCCATCTACACATCGTTCAAAGACATGGGACGAAGAGAGAGGGAAATAGGGAGAGAGCAGAAGGTGGGCACGGGCAGGACTGAGCTTGGGAATGGCCCTCATCCCTTGAGTCGTGATCGACGATGCCCCTGACACGAAGGTGGGCTAGTGACATCTCCTTACGTCGCTTTAAACTCACGCGTAGCAAAATGGAGCTGAGGGCATCATTTATGCAAGTAGCTTGTCCTTTTAATTTATTTTTTTTGAAGCCTGCGCTGAATGCAATTGGTGCACACATCAGCCGTTTGTATACGACAGGGCCCCCCGCCATGGTCCGTTCCTTTTTTTGATGTATGCGTGTACAGACCCATTGTGACCCCACAATCACAATACCAAAGCTGCAGTCCGTAATTGCATTGCATGGCAACAGCAACAGCAATAAGCAACCCTTCATTGTACCCTTGTGTCTCCATGTACCCTCATTGGAGTGCTGCAACGGTTGTAGTGTACAGTTTTGGAAATACAGCCATGGGATTAAACTCCCTGTAGACTGGGTTTCGTATTGTCTGCGACGATCACGTCCTAGATCCTCTTTTGCACGCGCCTTTGAACGCGACGTGGTTGTGATTGATACCATACAGAGAGAGAAAGAGAGAAAGAGAGAAAGAGAGAAAGAGAGAAAGAAAGAAGAAAGTGAGCATATCTCATCCTAACTATGCTCTGTACATGTATGTGCAGTACAGAGCACATGTGCTGCACTAAATGCTTCTGGTCCTCCTCCTCGTCCTCAGTCTGCTCACCTGCAGAAGTCCTCTTTGTCCTGTCGCCTCTTGGTTCTTTTTTATCTATTTTTTCTTTTATTTGTGCACCTACTCACCGCCTCGTCTAACTCCCCCCTTTTTTGGCCCATATACAAACAACAACACCATTGGAGATCTTTTGTTTTTAGTTAGGGAGACAGACAACTCTTTAATAATAAGGGCTCATGCACCCGACTAACCAACAACGCACCCATCTACCCATGTCCTGCCTTCCTTTCTTAACGTCCTCCTGCTTATATCTCAAGAAGCGACTCAGATCCGCCGTGAGGTTACCATTCCCGGACTAGCCCATTGAATCACACACATACACACACGCAGGAATCTAAGAAGGTAGTCTAGTCTAGTCTATTGAATTTTCCCTCTGTCTATTACTCTCCATCCGCTACTGAAATCGGAGACCTGTTGAGGATCTCGATCTCTTTGTCGTCACTGGGGCCCTATCGGGGCAATTGCTGTCTGATGCCTGTTGCCTGGCTCATGGTTGCCTTTTTGCATAGCGAATAAGAAAACACCCGATAACAGGAAGAAAAAAAAAAAAAAAAAAAAAAACGAAAAAAGCACGTATAGCCTGGTACGCAGCATATGCATCCTATTCATTCACTCACCCATTCTTGTATATACATTATATTGCATCTCGTATGGTATCAAGCAGAGCAGGAACAGAGCATAGCACCAATGCCCTCCTTGTTTGGCAGCTGGGGCAGCAGACTCGTTGCCCTCTCAAGTCTTCCAGACACTTCAGACACTTCAGACATAGCAGATACGACGCCAGCAGAATTAACGTCGGAACCAACGCCAGGACCAACGCCGCCCGCCTCTTCCTTCCCTGCGCTTCCGCACACTCCCCCTTCATCTTCTTCCTCCCCTTCCTCCACCCACACTCCTATTTCGATTCTCCCCCTGGGCCCCATCCCTGCATCCGTTGCCTATCATTCTCAGTCCTCTCCATCCGACAACGTGGCCATTTCACACCACCACCACCACCAGAACCAGTATCCACAGCCTCCACACTCCACAGCACCAGCACCAGCCCCAGTACCAGCATCTTCCTTGTCACAGGCACCGACACCAGCACTTTCACACCCATCGACCGCTTCAGGAACGGCCCATCCTCATTCTCGTACCTCATCTTTTTCTTCCTTCTCATCGTCGCCTCCTCCCAACAGGCCTGCCCCTCCGCCCCCTCGTCCCCTTGTCCCAGACTTATTCCGGCTATCATTCATCCGCTCCGCTGTCTCGTCCGAAAGAGGGCCCCTTCCCTTGTCGTCCACTCCTTCATCCTCATCCTCTGTATCTTACTTCATCACCGCCCCATTCCAGGTCACCACATCGGATTCCAGTGCCGTCATCGGTACCACCTCAGCAGCAATCCAGTTACCCGTAGGAGACAGCGCCAAAAACCCACGATCGCGTCTAGCTCAACACACGCGCTTTCACATCCCTCCAGAAAGTCGAGCCAAAGCACCCCCAACCCTAACTCCCACTCTCAACGCTCCACCCTCATCTTCCTGCGTTCATTCGGCTTCCCATTCCAGACCTCATTCAAGTTCTCATCCGAATTCAAACCCTGTTGCACAGGCTGTCGCCACTTCGACTCTCTCCAGCTTTCCCTCGGCTTCGCTCAGAGATCCGTTGAAACAATCCTGGAAAGGTGACAGTTTCTTCCGTATCAAACGGCTTCATCGCCAGCGGCCAACTTTGCCTTACTCGGACGCCTCTGCTACATCAAGCGACCTTGACCTGAGACAGCAGCCTCGCGCGCAGCAGCAAAGTAGACGCGCCAGCAAAAACTCTTTTGCCATTGATCAATCTTCTATAATGCAGCAAGTCGAATACATGACCAATTCACAACAGGGGTTTCCTTTGCAACAGCACGATGGATACATGCA